GAGCTTGTTTGTTTCAGGTTCATCCCATTTATGCTGGCTGATTGTTGTCTGTTGTTGTTGCTGTTGGTGTTGGCCAAGAATCTTCATCACCTCTGTTTTCTCTATGTTCACCTGTAATGCTTTCTTTGATGCTTCTCCTGCCAGCTTGTTGCTTTTCACTTGCATATCCTCCAGTTTGTGGGAAATCAGACATATATATCACATCGGCGATGTCCAGATCCTCCAAGTTCTTTTTTGTGTGAGTCCATTTTATGCCTGTTTCCTCATTGTCGGTTGTCTCCCGCATTATCCGATCTACTGCAATCAGGAAGATCATTGTCGATAATAGACAGCCTTGCCTTACTCCCGCCCTCACTTCAAAGGATTCCGTAAGTTTCCCGTTGTGGATTACTTGGCATGCAGCATTATCGTATAAATGTTGGATGAGATGAATAATTGTCGATGGGACCCCGTAGTAGCGAAGTGGTTGCCAAATCACCTCTCGATCGACGCTGCGCTATCGAAGGCCTTTTCAAAGTCGATGAAGTTGAGATTGAGAGGTGACTGCCATTCCAAGCTTTGCTCAATGATGATCCGCAGAGTGGCGATTCGATCAACACATGATTTGCTTCTCCTGAATCCAGCTTGTTCCGGTCGAAGTTTTCATACAGGTTGGCGTGTTTGATTCTCTCCAAGATGATGCGGCTTAGTATTCTGCTTGGGAAGGACAGGAGCATAATACCGTGCCAGTTCTTGCATTGACTTAAGTCTCCTTTCTTTGGTAGTTTGAATAAGTATCCTTTCTTCCAATCCTCCGGTACTTTACGCTCTTTCCACACCTTCTTTAGTAATGGCGTTATCAAATCCACTGTTGTCTCTAGTTCCATTTTCAATGCTTCTCCTGGGATTCCATCTGGTCCTGCTGCTTTTCAGGCTTTAGGCATCTTGATTGCCTTCAGGACTTCTGTTCTCGTCCGGCGGTCGATGTTCACTGGTAGTTCTGCTTCCGTTTTTTGTATTGCTGGGCGCGTTGTAGGTGGTGGTCGATTTAGAAGTCTTTTGAAGTGTTCAGCACAGTTTTTTCTTTGCTCCACCTCTTTGGTGATTGACTTTCCATCGTCACCATTCACTGGCCTAATTTGTGTCGAACATTTCCTCGATAGAAACCTAGTTGTTTGGTAGTGTGGCGAGGTCTCCTTTACCTGCACTGCAGCTTGTTCTGCTTCACTTCCCATGGCTTCATAATATTTTCTTTTGTCTTCCTTGGAACTCCTCTTTACTCTCTTGTTCAGTGCATTGTAGCTTGCATTGAACTCCTGTTTTTGTTACTTGTCGATGCACTGGATAATCTTTTGTTTCACCATCCTTCTGTCTTCTATTAGTCTCCAAATGTCCACAGTGAGCCATTGTTCGTCCTGTCTCTTCTTTCTGCCTAGAACTTTCATGCAAGTTTGACTCCACACCGTTTTCAAGTTGTCCGAGTGCTTTTCAACGCTGATCTCTTAGCTAGTGTTGACTTGTGTCTCGGCTTCTTTCCTTATGTTTGCAGTGAAGATGTCCTTTGTATCCTGGTCCTTCAGTTTTTGAGTATTGAACTTGTCTTGTGGTCTATCTGCAGCTGCTGTTTCACTGAAAGCCTTTAGCTTGATTTGGATTGTCCCTTGTACGAGATAGTGGTCTGAGTCAACGTCCGCTCCTCTTCTTACTTTTGTTTACAGTAAGCTGCCCCTCAGCTTCCTTGAGATCCATTGAGATGAAGTCAGTTTGGTTTTCGGTTCTCCCATCTGGTGACACCCATGTAGCCTTGTGGATATCATCGTGTTGGTATACGCTGCCGCCAATCACTAGTTCACTGAAGGCTCAGAAGTTGGCGAAGATTTCTCCATTTTCACTCATTTCTCCGAGAGCTTCTCTACCCATGATGAGTTCTCTTCCTATGTTGTCTGGTCCCAGTTTGGCGTTCATGTTACCTATTAGTATTTTAATGTCACCAGCTGGAGTATTGTCCACTGTTTTCTGCAGTTGTCTGTAGAATTCTTCTTTCTTTTCAAGGTCTGCGTCGTTCGTGTGTGCATACCATTGCATGACTGACACTTTCCTTCTTTTTTTGTTGAATCTAGTGGTTATCATCCCAGACGAGATCGCCTCACATTGCATCAGCGCCTTCGTTGTCCTCGGTGACATGATAGCCACGCCCTCGGTGTGTTTGTGGTTATTTTCAAGGTGACCGTAGTAGAACACTGACTCACCCGTTGCCAATTTGGTGCGTCTATTCCTGTTCAATCTGCTTTCTCATATTCCCAGCACTTGGATTCCGTATCTTTTCATCTCGTTTGCGATCTGAACAGCTGTCCCAGTGTAACAACAGAAGACAAGGACCAGGCAACAGATCGTTTTATTATGAAAATCAACACGTATTTATACATATTTCACATACATTATTATAGCTTATGCAAGTAGACAAGCGCAGTCATCTGATTGGTTGTTTATCAGAAGTTAGGCAGACAAACGCAGGCTTCTGATTGGTTGTTTCGGGATTCCTCGACAAATAGAGTTCTCTTTCTGCGGATCATATTTTGCCACGTTAACTTTGCTGTGATTGGTTGTTGAATCAGCCTTGCTCACATTTTCTCACGGCCTGCTCTCACCACACCAGTCGCGTACATGGTGCGGACGTTTCATGTCCCCACACAGACGTTTTTTGGTGCAAAGAAATTCATGGTGCTGAAATTTCTGTAGCACTTTTGTTTACAGGGTGGGGTTGCTAGCCTCACGCCTGAGAAAGGAATTGTTACATTAAGATTAAGTTTAGAGAGAAGTGACCTTTTGGGTTGCTCCCCTTAAATTCGGAAAACAAGGAACACAAGGAATAAATCAATCAGAACAACACCAGCAAAGGAAAATAATTCACAGCAAAAAGGGCAGCAAGCGGCAAGAACAATACAATGCAACAACATACAATACGGTTAAGCACAGTTAACTAAAATGATACCAAAACCATAGACCCAGTGACTTGGGCCAACTTGAACATATAAATCCAACAATATATACAGTTACATACATGGGTTTATGTTAAAAATTCACAAAACTCACTATAATGATGAGTTAAATCCCGCAAATCCTGAACTAATTCAAACACCCTCTAGTGAGAAAATTTCTAAAGTCTCTATGAAATAGTTTGTTCACAAACCAGAAATTGTTTCCGGTATTCACAATGACTGGTGCTAATTCAGCACCCTGTGCTTTGCCTGAACATTATCAGAAGTAGCTAAGGATCTACTGGGTTCGCTAATCGGTGTTTTTTCAGCCCTCTTGCCCAGGTTCAGTACTGACTGGCGATACTCAAATGGTTGTAATTCCGAACGTATGAGATAAACATTTTTAAAGTGACTAAGATGTCAGGAATTCAAGGAATGCGGTAACAATATTTCGGGAACCTTTCTTTTGACTGTCCGGATAATTGCGAGTGTTTTCATTGAGACTAAGTGATCAGCGTTGAACAGTCGTCCAAATGTACAGCCCAGTATTTAATCGCAATATCATCTTCATAGTGATTCGGATAAAGCTCCTCGAACATTCTTCAAACACGCACCGGGCGACCCAGATATATCTCTTCAGAGGACTAAGTGACTAGACAGACGCACATAGAAATCACCAAAATTAATGTGTTGTCTCTGGAGCTATTAGGTAACCTCAGAATAAGGGAGGCAAACCGCTTTGACTTAAATTCAATGATGTTTTTTCACGTATGTTTCAATATTCTCTTCTCCATAGTGTCGGTCAGAAGGTCGTTTTGAAACGCTTCGTTCATATATAACCCTTTCTTCAGCACCGAGAAGGAACTCTCTTTATTGGATTCAGAGCTCATTAGACCTGTTGTAAAGCGTGAAGGATATCCATTTTCAAACATATGTCTCCTCAAGAGATCAGTGCCCTTATCCAAAGAATCAGATTAGCATTGTTTTCGGATACCAACCGCTGGAGATATTAACACTGAATCCAACTGACAATGATGCATCAGGCCTACGTGTCAGTCAGGATGCACAGAAGATATTGCTTGTCTGGTTTTCACTTCAGTATACAATCCGGTAGCTGGATATCAACTGCTGAAATCCTGTAAGAAATCACGTAGGTTATATTTATTGACACAAATTATGAAACTATTGATAACATAATCTTTATGTGGAGGAAGACTGTTGACCGTTGGTTTCAAAACACCAAATCCCAAACTCACAACGTAAAGGTAACCCATTGGTGGCGCCACCTTGCTGGCCGAAAATTAAGCCACTAAACGTGAAATAGGCCTTCAAAGTACATAGAGGTTATTCTGACCAAGGATTCTGCCTTTTTGCATCTAAGATGCTATCTTGCAAGTGTTTGTACGGTGTGCAAATCATGTTTGTAATAAAGACGTCTATGAACAGTGCCTCGAAACTGATAAATACCTTGCATTTGCAACCTACATTTTCTTTCTAAGCAGTTCACGAACTTTAATTTGTCATGATGCGGATAACTTGAAATTCGTTTACTCGCTGGTTGTAGAATACGTCTAAAGGATGTCACATCTGTGAACTAAAGATGTACAAGAAGACCGACGATTTTCTGACTTGGATCTCGGTGTTTTACTACGAAAAAGGAAACTTCCAATTGTTATGGGCACTAGTACGATCGAAACTATTTTGCTAGGGAACCAGATTGACTTTGCCTACTTCCACCAACATCGTTTCAGATATAAGATAACTTTATGGTTAGTGACTGGAGTGTCAATCTATTGTATTTGCTCCCACATGGAAGGGTTGATATTTTATTACGGTTCACGAATTGACGTCATAAAATAATAATATATGAAGTCCTCCAACATTCTGGTAATTCTTTAAACTAAGGATAGATATTGAGCATCACAGAAAACCAGGAGCATCGTTACATATCTTTAAACACAATACCATTGTTTTGATTCTGGATGTAGACTGAACATTGATCAATTATGTCGTTCCACTTCAAAAACGTTGTTTTGAAGGTCTGCACTCCGCGCTGTATTTGCATTGGCTTTCATTGGTTTCATATTTTCGTTATGTTTTGAAGACTGATTCATTCTCGTGTTTTGAATGTGAGGTTTTAGGTAAGATAATTTCTGTTTTTCCTCCCTATTTTGTTTACCGTCATGGTGTCTGAGGATTTAAATTATTCATGTTGCTTATGGATTCATAATTTACGAAGTAATTCATTAGATGCCGATTGACTTTGACGGAGATCTGTAGAAATTAAAACTTTTTAGGAGAAAAAATGTTTGTTTATTTGTTAGAATTTGGTACTAGGTTAAATTAGATAAGCCTTAGTGCAAAGTGCAGAGTTTCACTGGAAGTTGACGTCAACTATGGACATTTCTGCAAGCCAACAACTAGTAATCCCTATACCGTAGAAACATTGGTTAGGTACTTTAGATTTTGTAGGCATTTCTTTCCTTAGTGGATTTAAGACAACTGGCAGTCTAAAGGAATGGAATCTAGTGGATTCGTGAAATTCTGTATGTCTTGTCTGCAGCCGTGCTTATATACAATAGCATATAGGGTTCACATTGAACTAATAAAGGATAGTAGGCTATTGTGATAATATATATTTATATAAGGGTCTAATTACTCTTTGCAAGCGTCATCTCCATCATGATCTTAATCCATATGAACATGATGACAACAGATATGAATCAAGTCTAGCTAATGTACTATCAATGAGGAGTGACTATTTATCAACGTACTTATGGATAAGTGAACAGTACTTATTGAATTACACCATGACATAAAATTTGTACGGCGTGGGAGAAATAATAGATGTCAGCAAGTAGAATCTAAGATATATACATCTTGAAAATGCCTAAGTCTCCCCGGTTAAATTTATTTTGAAGACTTTTTCCAGGTTAAAGTGCTGTTTCGATCTGGAATATTGTAAATATACAATTCAGTACCGGAGAACAAAATTTTCTTCATGTGATACGACCGTTAGCTGGTTGGCCTGAGACAATAGATGTTTTCATTTCGTTTTTCAATGATTTTGCATTTTAAGGGTTTGTTTCATGACATTTCCCTTAATAAACTAACATTTTCTCTGGGTTATTCTATGCTCGACATTGATTGTCAAAATACTTATGTAGAAAAGAAACCTATCCTGTCGAAAAGTAGCTGTTTAAATTTGGGTTGCGCAAGAGAAAGTTATAATTGTGAACAGCAAGTTTAATGAAATTTGGGAGAAGCGGAATTCCAGTAATCTCTGCCACAATAAAGCAGTCACATTCATGCAATACATGTACATAGCTAACTGTTAGTTAAAAATATTTGCTTATGGTAGTAAGATAATTCTGTATTAAAAGTATTCATTTAATTTAACACAATAAGCTATCTTTATTCAAGGCTTGATGCTTTTTTGTACATGCTTATATCTTTATGGTCACATTGTTCCCGAAATTTGGCCTTCATTTTATCCTTATTCATTGTGTTTAAATTTTATTGCTAACGGTTTATAATGGCAAATATTGTATGTTTATTGTGTAAAGGAAGACTCCATCAGTCTTTATCTCTGTACCCGAATATCCGGAAAATTCTTTTACCCATGAAATGAGGTAATCAGAAATAAATGAACTGTAAAAGCTAAGTGGTGTCTAATGTGGTATGACTGTAAGCATCGTTCAGTAAATAACTCCATATCATTTTGTTTTATGATTAAAATACGTTGCCAGACTGTATACTCCTCATCGGCTGATCAACTAAAAGTGAATATAAGTTTTTAAGTACTAGTTCCTCGAATTTTCGGTTTGTAGGGTCGAATCAGTATGGATGTCATGCTGTCAGTTGATTTGACGTTAGTGTGAATGTATGGAAAAGTAGTGAGTGTTTGAAATGAAAAAACCTTTAGGTCACTCTATACTCTGGCTAATTGTTGTTCACCAATTTTGAATGATGACAGCATGATGAAAATTGTTTGTGGAATAAGACGCATATCCCACTGATGGGAGACTTTCAGCAAGATTTACTTCACACCTCGATATGAAACTTGGTAATGTTGATAAGTTCTTCTTCTGTTGAATGGAAGGTTGTGTTGTCGGGTTGATGTGTACACTCTTCCACTTTTTAGAATTGAGCAAAATGAATGGATAGATTTTTTCATCTCTGTTATTTGGCTACCGACGTATTAATATCAACATATTGCTTAGCATTGTTCAGTGCATGTAATCGTATCAGATTATCCACAAAACAGTAAGTACACTAAATGCCATCTTTCTCCGATATATTCTATGACGGTTAATCATCGCTGAGTGCGAAAAACTTAGACGTGTCCTTGTCATGAAGTCATTGGGTAGACAATTTTGAAATGAGACTAGAAGTGCTAATTGACATAAGCCAGTCAACAATATTGAGGTCATGATGACTACCAGTAACTGGAACATCTATGTCAGCTCATTGTTGAAAATAAAACACGTCAGAGACAACCAAGATTAAGCTGGAAGAGAGCCAACGACAGCCAAACAAGATACAAAACTAATCAAAAAACCTGTGATCCCTAATATGAGCTATGAAAAGAAGTATAAGCTACTGGACTAGTAGCTTTAAAACGCTAAAGACAAATAAATGGAGAAATCCGGAGATACTGCTTTAATTCATTTGAGGTAGCAATGTATTCATCCTATATAATCCCCGAAATATTAGACTTTGAATTTTTTTCCTCCCGAGTTCATTCCCTTATTGATTCTTTGGACAGCTTTCTTTTGGTGGGTTGTGGGGGGGGGGAAAGCGGAGTTTCTATAGTCCTGGTATAGAATATTGAATTGATTTTTGTTTCTCAACGTTTCAATTGGTCCCAATTATTCTATACTCAATGTTGATAATGACTCACTGTATTTATCTCCATCGTTATGCATGTTTAATTCAACAATATCGTTTCATTTTATATCATTCTCTATTTTCGTACACTTAAGAAATAGGCGTTTCTTCCTTGTTTTAGTCAGACTGTCCGAGTAAACTGTTTGTCGAACATATTACTATTTAGACAATTAATAAGGTTCAAAGTAATTATTTGCTGATATTTGCAATTATGTTGGGATGAATTTAGATCCTCTTCAATAGATCTCTAAATTACATTGATTGGACATTAGGGGATAACCAATATTGTGTTACATACTAGTCCCCTGTGTTAGTCTTAACTGAATTACAATGTGGTCCATAAGCTAGATGACTGGTCATTACGGAGCACATTGAAACGGTGCTGCGTGTTTGGAGACAATCAGCTTTCTCAATGGTATCATTACCACTCAATGACTAATATTTCCATACTCCCGTACCGTTAATATATATATATATATTTCACAGCCATACAAAATAAGTAAGACGTGACTTAACAACCGTCAGATTCGTTAAACTGGGCTTTTAACTTATTATTATTAGCACGTCATGATATGCAGTTGTGAAAACAGCAAACCCTTGGTCCACGCAACTACTTTTGGTATTGAAATTACTTTTCAATTGGAAAATTTTATTTCCCGATACAAATTTAATACGAATTTAAAACTTTTCAATAGGAGGCAGTGTTTAACCACTTATCAAGAGTTAGACCCTCATTGAATGATCTGCTGTTGAGCTCAGGTTAGGTGAATCAATAGATCCATGAATAATCCCCATCCAGACGTTAATGAAACTAAAACACGGAGTTCAACCAAGAGGCTCTTCTTGGCGAATTCATTTTCCTCTGCTATATAACCGAATTTATATTACACTGTTTTCCATGAAGAGGGTATATAAACGCTTCTGTACAGCTAAAGAAATTGAGTTCTCTGAGAAGAGCCTCTTTACTGAACTACATATTTTGAATCAACAGAGGTCATCCAAAGACACTGAAAGTCATCCTGGAGCTCATTTTCATTTCACCACCATTTATGGCATAATTAAATCAACAAATGTTTTAAAAAAACCCTTTCTGCTGCATTTGTAAGTGTTAAATGAATTCAAAAAATGGCTCCTTAAATATCTACTAGTTGACAGTTATTCATCGGGCATACAAAGTAATCTAGTTTATTCATGTACTAACCTGTTTTTATTTCTTATTCTTGTATTTTATTAGTGCGGTAAATTTATTCTTCAATTTCTCTGGGCATGCTGACTGCCTCTTTGGCACCAACTTCTAACGTCCCTTTAATTGGTGAAAACGGACACCTACGTTCACGATCAACGTCTCAGCATTTTCAAGGAGATCGTGCTAGAAGTGGTTGTCGACAACCTGGAATATCGACTCCAAGTGTAGATACGTTATCCGACTCATTAAGTCTTGCAACAACCGCGACTGAGGGAACAATTGGAGAAGTCTGGGAACGAAAACAATACCCCGACATGCCCCTAGGATGTGCTATCATAAAAAATCAGCCACCTTCCTTTTTAAATCTCCCTAACCGTGTTGAAGAACAGTCTTCAGAAAAAGACCTGTATGAGTTTTTGAAAGATGCTGAATTAGAACATTACTACACTGTTCTCACTCGTCATTTAAAGGTTAGTACATATTATTATGAAAGAGTATAAAGAAGGTTTTAAGATAATATGATTCCTCAATGGTATATTCATTAAATTATAGGTGTTTTGGTAATTTCACTTGCTATAAATCAGTAGTTTATTTACACCGTCACATGTTTTAAAAGTCTAAGTCGTTTTACCTTACTGTTTTCAACATCATGTTCTTGTTTTGGTTAGTTCTATTCACAGTTGAAAATGCAACCTTCTTGACTTAGATACTTAATTTTCCAGCAGCAGAATAGAGGCTAGAACCCCCTACCACTTATGTTGTGTAGGACGTTTGTTGAATTACTAAGATGTATTTATACACCAAACACTTTGATGTTCCAAGTGTGATCACGGATCGATATCAGCTAGAGAACCATTAAAAACTGGGGTTACTGGACAGCTGTTCCATCTTAATTTGAGACCCACCGGCAGTACGCACCTACGGGGTTTCGAAGCCAGGACCTTCTAGTTACAAGGCAATCTCGTAAGTCATTCATCCACTAGGAGCCAACTCAACGGCCAACCCATGAATTCTAACTTCTCTCAATTCGTGATTTTAGCACGACTGGTACCAGCCAGTGTCACTGGCGGCAAATATTTGTCCTCACTACCGATGGTTCTCCACCTGATCGAACTTGAAACAAATCAAGTCCATGCAAACAAACTCTTGAAAACCTTTGTGTTCATTTTGCACTTCGTATTTATTTAGGATGAATAGTGACGGTTTTTATTTTAACAATCATTTCATGTTTAGGATGAGTTTAAATTTTGAACTGATCATTTACAGTTGCTTAGGCTTACTTGACTCGTCCAGTTTAAAGTGGAGTAATTATCTGAATAACTTTTATTACAACTGGTATAAAGATAAGTAGAGAGAAAGAGACAGTTTCATGAGGCGTTGATAAACCATGAGCACTTTACGTATACTTAATTCCACTAAGCAACTAGATCACTATACTTTTCATCAAACCAAACTTCAGATTATTCCTGGCTTTAATAATATTGCCAATGCCTTTCATTTCATAGACACTGGGGTTTCAAAGAGATTTTATATAGGATATGAATTAAATAAGTGTAGTACCTGATTGAGATACTACATAAAAGAATGAGAGTCTATCGCTAGATTGTATAATTTGCTATATGCAGTGGCTTTTGCTAGATTTTAATACCACATTGCAGCATTCCTAAGCTGAAATTTAGGTAGAAATAGAGAACTTCATTGGTTCAAGCACTCGACTTATATCCAATGAGTCCCGGGTTTTAGTCTCCCTCCACTTACCTTAGCCTAAACAAATAGGTAGTATCACCAACCCTCCCACACTACGTGTGGCTCATAATCCCGTACATGAGAAATCTGTTTCGGATAACTGAGTACAAAACAAAATATAACCCTTATGCCTAAATATGGCTCATTGGTTTAGATCGGTCCTTGATTCAAACTTCTGATTCATCTAATTCAGCCTGGGCAACCAACTGGTATCATCAGTCGCAACACAATAAGTTTGATTTACAGCACAATGTATGATTAATCTGTTCTAGGTGCGAGACTGAGTTCTGGCAGTAATAGCATGTACCTGCATTCGTGATATTGATGCATATCGTTAGGAGATTACTTCCTTCACTTATCTAGGCGGCATTGTTTCAACTAAAGGCACGCCACACGGATAAGAATGTCAAAGGCAAGATCAGAAAGTCAAGACAGACCTTCATCACTCTGAGATCAGCTTGGAAGTCTTCTGTACTCAACATAAAGAACGAAATTCGGATTTTCAACACCCATGTCAAGCCAGTTATTCTTTATGGATCATAAACTTAACACGTCATGAAAAGCTTTTCTAATAGGCTTCAGACTTTTATCAACAACTGTTTTCGCTGGTTCCACATTGAAGATCAAATGGCCAGAAAGAATCAATAACAAGAAACTCTGGGAACGAACCAATCAAGAACCTATTGCTCAATAAATGCGCAGAAGAAAATGGAGGTGGATCGCACACATGCTGAAGAGGCCAGTGAGTCGTGTGGCGCTCTATACCATAGCTTGAGGAGAACTCGAGTGGGAAATAGCGAGTTGGGCGTAGCCCCGAAAGTAATATGGGGAAGATCGTGTGAGGAGGAGATGAGAGACTATGGACAACCGTGGAGCCAACTGAAAAGGACTGCGGTGAACGGGATAAAATGGATATGTGCTCCTGAAGTCCTGTGTTTCACTAGGAACCCAAGGAAATAAAAGTCACCAGGATTTTATGTTCTATTTTCACAAAAAGTGTTAGAAATTTAAAACCTTCTAGCTATCATCGATATTTAAAAAAAAGATAAATGTAGTTTTTATCGCAAAATGTCCATAGGCACCAGTTATTCGCATCTGTAGCTCATTGGTTTGGGTACTCTAATTCCAACCAGTGAGTGATAGGTTTGAACCCTGCCCCACACACCGAGGTTTCAGCAGCCTTGGGTAGTATAATCACCCTTCACACGATAGGTGCGGCTCATTGCTAGTATTTATTGAGTAACGACTGATTGATCATGCAGCACTCTAGTTACCTAGTTTCATTTTCCACAAATACAGATATTTTCTAGGTCATAGATCATTCAGTGGATTTTTAATTTATTAATATAGGCGCTGGACTTTTAGCAGGTGCATCACAGGTTTGAACCCTTTTCTACCTAAATATGTTTAAACGACCAGTTAGAGGCCAAATTTGGCTTAAAGTACCTTGAGTACCAACCATATTGTATCACAATCTTTTTCAAATGGAATGATTTTTTCATTCTGTTATCAATAGTAATAATAATAATCCTATTCTATGATTTATCAATATGATCTTTATTGTATTATAATTATATAATGTTTCAACAATGAACACTGTGTTTTATTTTTTAGATTCGATCAGTTCAACAAATCAAATATGTTGAGGACTCTGATCTTGCAGAAATGGGGTTTAGTCGACCAGAACAAAGACGCTTGCGTAAGCATTTCAAGCGTGAATGCCCACAAACAGCAATGGGAAAACTACGAAAGGTTAGTTGGATTGGCGATTACTATACAGCATATACACTCAGTGTAACATACATCCATATTAAAGCTTATTAAAAAGATTTAAGCTGATTAATATGTGAAATAATAAGGCTTTTACCGCATACTAGGAGGTATGGATGAATTGTATTCTTTCCGTTTTATTATAGCTTGGCTTTTTAATTTGGATTTGTTGATATAACTGTAACGGCAGAATATAAGAGAATCGGTAATAGACTTCTTTATCACGGTAAAATACATCGTATTTATACAATTTTAACCATCCTAAAAGTCAGGTCAGCTGGTGATAGACTGTCCTGATTGGCTGGCAATTGACTCAAGGCTAAACAACGACACGAAAAGTTGTCCAATCAGATTATTTCATGTCCACAACGTGAATTAGGTTCAGGTTTGAGGAATAAATTTCAATGATTTTGATTTCAATTTTGGCCGCTTCCTATCAATCTACATCTATGTACTACTGATAAATTTTGTCAGTAATACATGCCACATTACTACTTCGCAAGCCTAATTTACCTTAGGAAAGTGTTTTCAGGATGATCTTGGTACCTTTTTCAGAACGGTTGTACAGTATTTTTAAATATATCTAAATAAATGTTTATTTTCGGCAGTCAAAATATATTATTTGTTTGACATGTTTTTTAAAGTTATCTGCACCTTTTTACTTTTCAGCGATTGGCTCGTTCAACTAGTGGTCGATGCTCTTCACCACGATTTAAAGATACATTGGACGGATTATCATCGCGTAATGTAAATGTTCTATCAATTTCACTTGACAGTACACCAACATCTGAAGATGGTGATTCAAAAAGACGTACTCTATTGTTTACACAAGGTTCTAAGTCGGAGGATCTTAATAAGTGTTTAACAGATGATTTAAGCAGTTTAACTATCGATGGAGGTACTAACTATCGAATTATTCGATCAAGTGAACTTGAAATAGGCAGTAGTCTTGGGGAAGGAGAGTTTGGAAAGGTTTTTCAGGTAATAAAAACGAAAATTATCTTGTTGTTACCATTTTCTGTTAATATTTCTGAACTGAGTTAACTCAACACTTATAAACACATACAACAAATGCCATCATACTGCCTCGATTTTTTCAGTTTGATATGTTTATGGTGATTACCGCTAGGTGGTGCTCCGGTAGCTTAGTTGTTTAGAGCGCCATACTCATAATGCCGGACGTCAAGAGTTCGAGACTCACTGCGGACACTGGCCTTAGGCGCCGACAGCTCAGTGGTAGAAAATTGGCCAACCGCATAGGTGGTTCGAGGTTCCGATACACTGAAACCTTGCCTAGCCTGTAGTGAGCCGAGTGAAGAGTGGAGGTTGAACGTGAGGCTAACAAGCCAATCGCGTAAAATACAAACACCACTGCCACTGAAACTCCTAAGCTCTAGCTTGAATCTCTGCGTTCCACTCGGCACTCAAAAGAACAAAATAAAAAAAAAAACTGCCAGGTGGAAGTTTCAGTTAGAATATTGTTGCTGATTGGGATGAAAATGCATCCAGATGACAGTAGATGACTGACTGCATTCCCAACGCCTAGACACTATCAAATTGGTTTATTCATTGTTTCTATATTCTCTTTTGATGTATTTAATTAATTAAAACAGTATTGTCATGTCAAAGTAACTATCCCTATTGATGGCTTATTAATGCTAGGATGTGTCTGTTGTTCTTCGTCTGTAGGATTCCGAGTGCAGCATAAGGCTTTAGTAGCAAGTCTCCATTGCATTCGGTTCCTCTCCACCACTACTTTCGTCTGGCTCTAAGACTACCCACAAACTTTCATCTCTCTTATATGTCATGCTCGGACCCCAGGGTCACCGTTTCTCATTCGGATTCCACTTGATTTTTTTTTGATTTTTTGATTACAGCTTGATTCCACACCGTATTTTTAGTACAGGTATGGAATTTTCAGCATGTGATATCGGTAGCCCAAATTTTTCAGGCCGACCACAGATATCAGGTGTGCGTCGGCGGGAGCTCGAACTCCGGACCATATGCATGGTCGGCGAGAGTCCTAACCACTGTGCCACCGACGCACGTCGCATGATGTCACTCAACGGTCTTCTCAACCCATGGTCAATCCATCTTCTTTCCTTTCTATACATTTGTTCGGCGATGAGTTCTTGGTTGATTTGCTGTCTATCAGAGTTCCTTGTTGCTAATCCTTATTGGTCGAACCATCTCATCTTCAGTATCTAGCGAAAGCAGCCATCAATGAAAGTTTGCAGCCGCCTGTTGGAAATTCTTTTCATGGCGCGTGTGTCAAGTCTCTAGACCAAATAGGAGCAGACTTCAAGTTAATATTATTAGATGTTCGAATGTTGTTCCTTGTGCTAAGTGTTGATATTAGTATACTGAGTAGAAAAGCACACTTGGCACATTTCTATTACGAAAATGTTAATTTTTTTATATCAACTTAGACAGCGATATGATTGCTGAAAATCAACTTTCCATCTAGGGTAAATATGCCCTATTTCTCTGTCTCTCTTTATAACACTCACACGGATGCATACGTGCATACAAATACACTGCATAAGTGCGTTAGCGCAGTTGATAGTGTTTTGAGTGCTTAGTTGAACATCAACTATACTTATAAGAATTATTAGTGAAATCGTCGACCTGCTGTATTCTTTTTGTGTATTTTATTTTCACTGTGGTAAACAAATGGTTTATCTAAAGGTCTATACTGTCATTTGTTTGTTTAAGCGCAAATAAATAAAGTTGGACTTGAATTTGGTATACACCGCCTTAAGTTAAAATGCTGCTTAATTTACGCTTTGATGTTAACTTTTAGGAGTTATTATTAGAATCGATTAATAAATCGAAGAAACAGACCATTAAGTTCTTAACGGGAATTACAGTGCCTAATTTACACCGTTTGCGTCGGTGATTCTGCGATAGAATCCACACCAACCATTTCTCACGTGGTCCGAGGCTGAATCCCTGGTCGACACACTCCTAAACCTCTCTAAGCTGATAGGTAAGGCCGGTCAACGGAGAGGTTTGGAAGTGAGGCTAGCAGTCGTACACCTTAAAAATAAAACCACTGTTCCTATAGCTTTTAAGCTCCAACTTGAAGTCCTATGTTCCGCTGGGAACGTAAAGGAATAGAGGAAAATTGCCCCATTGGAGCTCACCTCAAATCGACTTAGACTAGCTGTTGTTGATTTCTTAATCTCAATCATAACTCTATTTACAGGTTTATATTCTTCAACAATCCCTTCATATGGTTCTACCTGAATATGTTCATTGATTTTCTTTAAGCAATCCGTTTTATCCAAGTCGCTCTTAACAGATTTGGTTTGTAATATACATCTTTGATTTCACTGAGTTCTACTGGTCCACATGCATTTCACCTGGGTTTCTTTTGTTGTTTCAGCGCTGGTGCACATTGCACTCGGATTTGAGAAGTAGTAGGTCTTAATGTTACTTCTAGTTTACTAAGGACAACATCCTCACGAATTATGCAAGCTTATGCTACTAACAGCAGAAATGTAAAGATCGCTTAGTCGAAGAAATACAATCACAATATAATTTGAAAAAGGAATTTAATAATAATAACTTTATTATGCACAATAAGTTTACACAATATGCATAATTTTCAGCGTAGTTTATTGCATAATGTTTTTCTCTTTATCCAGTAGTTGCAAGTAAAACAGCCGTCTCTAGTACATCATGTGACTCAGTGATGTTAGATCTAAAGAATAATCCACTGTGGTATTCTTATTTTTTTTAATTTTATTTTTTTAATTTTTGATTACAGCTTGATTCCACACTGTATTTTTGGTACAAGTATGGAATTTTCAGCATGGATATCGGTAGCCCAAATTTTGCAGGCCGACCATAGATATCAGGTATGCGTCGGCGTGGGCTCGGACCATGTGCATGGTCGGCGAGAGTCCTAACCGCTGTGCCACCGACTCATTCTTCTGTCCCCCCCTTAGTAGGTTGCAAACCAATTAAAAATGTGTATGAGTGCATCTGGTGACCCACGGACATAAGTGAATGATTATAACAACTACAACTAAAGAAAATAAGATGCCTTGTCTCGGTTTGAAATCCAGGTAGCCCATTGATACAAGCTAACTGCTTGTTGTTAATAAGTAGTCTTTCGTAGATTAACATTAGAAAAAAAATTCTTGAAAAAATCCTGCTATTTAGCTGCTGAAGACGTAAACTACTGTTTGCTTTAGGTATTAACTTTCAGTCATTGCGCGTCCTGAGTTCGAACCTCTCCTCCCCTTTGCTTCACTCTGTCCAACGGCGTAATATCATCTGTCGTCATACAATAAGTGCAGCTGATACATAGTCTGGTTCATGAGACGCCTATCCTAGGAGTAGCTGACTTCTAAATCAGAAGTAACTTTGTTTGAGTTGTAAGTAACATTTTAAATCACTTAGTAACATGTTGTGTTGTGTTCTTTTTATATTCTCTATTAAGGGTTGATTCATGTTAAGAGTTGGTAACTTGCGTTTATTTTGTCAGTTGATTTTGCAATTCTATGCATTTTTATGCGTAGAATAACTAAGAGACACTAAACTGTCTGTCTATGTTTGTCTTTCCTCATGTTAACCCTGGTTATCAGCTAAACAAAGTTATATGTGCAGTAAAACAACCTACATATAAATGTCTCGTCCAAGCAATATTTTTACTGTGTAAATAGCCTAAATAACAGACGAATTTTCATAATTTATAAAATACACTTTTGTCTCTTGGTTAATATCAGTAGTTATAATGATGACAGTAGTAGTAGTAATAGTGGTGTAACAGTAAAAGACAAGAGACTTGGTAACGGAATGTTTATTTGGAATTTACTGTACATATATATTGGGAAATTATGTATACCATGTATTAAAGTCATTGGCACAGATCATCCGTGTTGTGCTATTTCTGCCCTCCGTATTGTATTTCTTTCTCCCACATTTTTCTACAATACCGGTTCATTTCCTCGCTTTGATGTCAAATCTGTCTCTCCGCTATTTGATATTTTTGGGCCTTTGAACACCTGTCTATATACTATTGATAAATCCTGTTAGTAGCATACGCCACAGTAATAACCCAGTTCCTACGGTTTTTCTTAAGTGTAATCTAACGAGGGAGCTGATTACCACTAGAATTTCTACTGTTAAAAAGGGACACATTAATTACTCAGTCTCAATAACAAAATCTAAAAGCTTAAATTATACTATTATTACTACTCATCTGGGTTCCCAGGAATACATAAGGCTTCTGCAGCACACCTCTATTTTATTCTGTTCTTTTTCAGTCGTTTTTAACTGGCTCTACGATTGCCCGTTGACTTTCATTTCCGCCTTACACATTCTCCTACATCTCACCCTCGGAGCCTACGCCCGACTTGTTCTTTCTCATTCGGGTTCCATCTCCTTAGGCTTGGTGTGTGATATCATTCAACAGTCTCCTCAGCTTATGCTGTATCCATCTCCACTTTTTTCTACATATTTGTTGGACGATAGGTTTTTGGTTGGTTCTCTGTCTGCCATGGTTCCTTTTTGCTACTCCTTTGTGGCCAGCGAATGAGTCCGTCAGTGAACGTTTGCAGCCGCCTGTTGAAAATGCTTTTCATGGCGTATGCGCTAAGTTTCTGAGTCATATAGGAGCAGACTTGAGATCAGTATTTGTATTCCCAATCTTGTTCGTTATGCTGAGTGCAGCAGATTCCCACACTGACTTCAGAGTAACGAATATCCGTCTTGCTTTTTAGATCCTGGTTTTGACATTCTCATCTCTTCGGCGTGCCTATAGTTAAAAGGATAATACTCAAATGAGCGAAAGAAGTAACCGTTGATAGTGATTAGTGCTTGTTGTTGTTGCCTGTCATCGTGTATCTGCATCATCTCTGTCTTCTGTATGTTCACTTGAAGTCCTGTCTTCGATGCTTCTTATGCCAACTTGCCGGTTTTTGCCTGTCTGTGTGACATTAGACATAAATCTTCCACAAAGTTAGGATCTT